TAAACATTGTAATTGTAATTAGCTTTGGTTAATAATAAAAATAATGATAACCACCACCGTAAGGTGGTGGCCGCCGCCGTGAGCCGCCATTGACCACCACTAACCGAGGTGGTAGTGGGTGGTGCCCCACAAGCAAAACCCTAATGGGCTTAAGGATTAGTTTTGGGCCTATTGGGCCATGTTTGGGCGAAAAACCCTAATTAGGGTTTAGAAAACCCTAATTGTGAGTATTTGGGCCTTGGACTTTTTTAGACCCACCTTTGGGCCATGGGGATTGGATGGTGTATCAAGCCCAACTACACCATATGATTTATCTAGAAGAGAGATGGACTTAATGGATTAAGTCCTTAATGGGTTAAGTAAGAAACACTTAATCCTAATCGTCATTTTATGTGAAACCCTAGTTTCACTTGGGCTTTGTGTTGGCCCATCCAAGAATAATCAAATGGACTAGAGTAATTAGTTGGGCTTTAGGGTAAGGCCCATATGAAGGAATGGGCCCAATTTGGAAAATTGGGCCATAGATGGGCCATAGTTTGGGCCTAGATGGTTGTATGATATTGGGCCCTTAGAATGAGACATGTTGGACTGGACTGAATAATTGGGCCTTAAGGGAAGTCCATGTAGAGGTTTGGGCCCAATTTGGAAAATTGGGCCATAGTTGGGCCTTGGTCCATTATGAGACTTTTGGGCCTTTGGTTTGGGCCTTGAGCTGGAGTCAAGCTAAGATAGGGGTAAAGTAGACTTTTAACCAAGTATGGACTTATGGTTATGAGTTGGAACCCAATTATTAATTGGGTGTTATTTTAGTATTGACAGTTCGGGAATTTGTCATCCAGCAACTGGGGTTGAGTCTGCGGGACTTCAGCAATGTGGGGTTATGTCTTCGGGACTTCAGCAGTGTGAGGTGAGTTTCCTTTCAGTAGGAACGGGTCTACGGCCACAATGCCGACCCGTTTAAGTTAGCAGTAGTTCTGAACTTTAGTCTGATGTAGTAGTTCGGTATGCTTGGTGTCTTTGTGATACAGGCATGGTATGTGTTATGTGTTCCGGACTATGGTCCGATGCAGTATGCAGTATATGTGTTCATATTATATGCCATGATCATGTTATGCTATGTTCAACCAGTTCCGGACTTCGGTCCGATGCAGTAAGTTCAGTGTGTTCGATGTCTTTGTGATTCAAGCATGACTTTGTGTTATGTGTTCCGGACTTCGGTCCGATGCAGAATGCAGTATATGTGTTTATGCTAGTAGTTATGATTATGCTATGCTATGTTCAATCAGTTTCCGAACTTCGGTCCGACGCAGAGGGCAAGGCCCTGGTTAGTTCCGGACTTCGGTCCGATGCAGTTCCGGACTTCGGTCCGATGCAGAGGGCAAGGCCCTGGTTAGTTCTGGACTTCGGTCCGATGCAGTTCCGGACTTCGGTCCGATGCAGAGGGCAAGGCCCTGGTTAGTTTTGGACTTTGGTCCGATGCAGTTTCCGGACCTCGGTCCGATGCAGCGGGCGAGGCCCAGTATGTGCTTTATATGTTATTGTATGGTATATGGTAGTTGGGGAGACTCACTAAGCTTCGTGCTTACGGTTTTCAGTTTTGGTTTCAGGTACTCAGTTTTCAAAAGAGGAGCTCGAAAAGATTGCAGTGCACACACCATTTGTTCAGCCTGAGATGTTTATACTTTGATATACATGACAATTGTTATATTATTCTGAGATACATTGTTGTGATTCTTCTACGACGTATGATGACTATGGTTTTATTACTGATTTAAAACGAAATTTTCAGACTGTATTTTTGGGATGTTACAATTTTTGTGCAATATTAGAGTATGGTAGAGTTTCCAATTGATAGAGTACGTAGTTCATCATCTAATTCGATTACTTTGAATTCTTTGTTTTCATGGAACAGGTCCTTAATGGATGTCCAAACATCAGCAGCAGTTGAACCGGGTTGGAGGATTGTTTGGAGAAGAGGTTGAGTCAGGGTCCCGTAAAGCCATTGCTTGACCACATTGTCAATGGTTTCCCACTCTGGATCAGTAGTAGGATCGATAATGGGGGTTGAGGAAGGAGTAGCAGGTGGTTCGAGATGGTGAAAAACCTTGTAACCCTTGCAGTGAATGGTGAACAATTCCTTCGAAGAGTCGTAATTGAGGCGATACAGTATTAGAGGTACATAAGACTTAATGTTTGTTATGCCATAGATTTTGTCTGTGAGTTTGATAGAAGCAGGAGGAGTAGTGGCTTTGTCGCCTGTCATGATGAGATTAGAGGCTGCAGTGACAGGGGGAAGAAACAACGAGAAAGAGAAGACGATAGGAGAAATATGTTGCAGGATCGGTTAGGGTTTAACCCTCTGATACCATGTTGTAATCAATATTTTCCCATAAATCGGTATGCCTCTCATTCAATACTATATACATAATACATGTACATGTTGGGGCTAGATACGTATATGTGGATTGCTTATACAATGGGCCTACAACTTAGAAATACAAATACACAAAACATACGTATATAAAATACGTCTAACATTCAAATCCTAAAAACACCTAAACAAGCAAAAGTTAGTTATTTAAAATAGATTAATGCTAAATAATTGTTAATAATCTAGTCAACTGCCATAAATATTTAAAGATTAAAACATATTAATGCTAAATAATTATAAACTTAAATTCTTATAACAACTACAGAAGTATAAAGTTGAAGTTTTACGCATAATCAACCTGAGACAACCAAATAGGTTTGATGAAAAAATAATTTATACTGTTGTTAGGCTGAACGTTATACATACAACGAAGGAGTCTGTGGCGTATGTGGCCGTGGATCACAATCGTGCACACCGTCCCGGTGTATCGTCGTGAGTCGTGGTCATGGCTATTCGTGGTGACTATGACGGAGGCGGGCGACCAATGACATTTTGAGGCTTGCATTCGACCGTTCAATGGTCATTTTTTGTAGTTTTTAATTTCTTTAATTTTTTTTAATACAAATTCAATACCTATATAAAAACAATAAAACCCTCACTTATCATCAAATTTTACACTTATCATCAAATTTTACACTCTCATTCTCTAAACCAAAAAACACATGAATTTCTTTAAAAATTTTGACTCGGGTGATGACGGAGAATTCATCTCGACCTTCTTCAATGTTGTGCAACACTTTCACGATGAAGCAAGTTCGAATGTTGTGCGTTCGAGAGAGGTCATCAATCGTAATCGCCAAACCGCACATGGCTTATTGGTACATGATTACTTTGCCGATAATTGTCTTTACAATGATGACTCGTTCGAACGTCGTTTCCGTGTAAATAAGGATATATTTTTACGTATTAGTAATGCTTTAGAGACCCATTATGATTTTTTCAAACAAAAACCCGATGCTAGAGGAAGAATGAGTTTTAATAGTATACAAAAATGTGCGGCTGTGCTTAGGTATTTGGGATATGGTATAACATTTGATGCATTCGACGAGTACTTGAAAGTATTTGAGAGGACCACAATTGATTGTGTAGATTGGTTTTGTGCATGTGTATATGAGGTTTTTTTACCAACAATATTTGCATAAACCTAATCTACGTGATATTGAGAGATTATATTCGGCTCATGAACAGAGACATGGATTTCCGGGTATGCTTGGCAGTCTAGATTGTACACATGTGGCTTGGGAAAAATGTCCAATTGCATGACGTGGTCAATTCACTCGGGGAGATATAGGTGAACCAAGTATAATCCTAGAAGTTGTTGCATCTTAGGATTTGTGGATTTGACATTCGTTTTTTGGAGTTGTGGGGCCTAACAAGGACATTAATGTTCTTGGCCAGAGTCCCATTTTCAACGATATTTGGACCGACAAAACACCAGATATGTCGTTCACGGTGAACGGGCATTCGTACAAATATTGTTACTACCTTTATGATGGGATATACCCGGATTATTCTACACTTATGAAGGCATACTCAGTTCCTTGAAGTGAAAAGGCAAAGTTGTTCCCAAAAAGGCAGGAATCGGCGAGAAAAGATATCAAGAGGACATTTGGAGTCCTCAAGTAGACATGACATGTAGTGAAATATGCTACACGACTTTGGGATAATGATATGATTAAACGAATGGTCCAAGCATGTATTATAATGCATAATATGATCATTGAAGATCAAGGTCAAGCGATTTGCACGTATGACCTGGATGACATAGTCATCCCGATTGAAGAGTTTTCACCTGGAATGACTGAATTTTTAGCACGGGTTGTTGAAATTCATAACAATGAAACGTGTTTCAATCTTCTAGAATATGTTGCAGATCATTTGTACCAATTCAACATGAACGAATATTAGTTTTTTTATTGGTTTTTTTATTCTAGTTTTTTAAGTAAATGTAGTTTTTAAATTAATGTAATGTTTCTTTATTGAATAAAAAACTAATTAAAAAAATTTCTATGTTTTTTTTTTGTATTTAAAATTTTTATTTTTATTGTATTTTTTGAATTAAAAAAATATAAAAAATGATGTGGAGTGGAGTTGTAGTTGTGAGTATCCCATATGTTTAGGGGTAGCTAGTTTTTGATGATGTGGCACCCACGACTATAGTGGTCAGTGGTAGATGGTAGGTATAACAGTTGGTTTTACTGTATAATGAATGTAAAAAGTTAATGAAAATTCTAAAAATAATGTGATCAAAAGTAAAGTCATAGAATAGATTGTGTTCTTATTGGTTAGTTCACAAAAGCATTATGTAGTCTGTCCTACTAAATAGAAACTTTTACAATAAAGGTGAGCAAGAAAGGGTCTCAAAATGATTAAAATAAAATATAATAATATGAACTTTTAGACTAAAATATACAAAACTAGTCACGATTACAACTTACATTAATCTAAGATGTCACCCACCACCTTTTGTTTTGAAACGGCAAATATTATTAATAAAAATAAAAACCCTCGACTAGTAAGTAACTATCAAGGGATAAAGACAAGCAACAAAAACAGAGTATAAAAGTTATCAAATACAAAAAGGCGATGATGACCACTCTACCCATGAATAGATACCACCTTTACCCCTACATTTAACCCACATATATAAAATTAATTTGATTTGCTCTACACCATACGAAGGACTAATGAACACCTGATTGAACATCTGATCGTTACGATATTTCCATAGATTCCAAACTAGACCATAGCAAATGGTATGGAACCGAGCTTTCATTTTAGGCCTCCTCCCCCAATTTGCAGCAAATCTGAGTAGTTCGTCAATGCTATTGAATGACTGATTCTGTATGCCGCACCAATTGAAGGTTTTATCCCTCACATTTTTTGCAAACGGACATCTTACCAAAATATGATCAGCATCTTCTTCTACGTTTATGCATGCACCACACATAGTAGTTTGAATCTTGATACCTCTAGCTCTCAGGCCTGTCATTGAAGCAATCCTCTGTTGAATTGCTCGCCACAAGAAGCAGTTAACCTTGATTGGGACTTCCTTGCTCCATTTGATTGTGGGAATATTTTGAGTTATTCCAGATTGGCCATCAACTTTCCACCTTAGATCACATACTTTGAAAGCTCCATATTTATCCAAGGAGGACTCCCACGTGTCAGATCTATTAACCAGCTGTACTGAAGATAGATCGTTTCGGAGGTTATTGAGCTCTGAAGTTAGACCTGCTTCGTGAGGACATGACCGCCAATGACCTGCAAAAAAACCTTCAAAAAATATGTCAGCCACTGTACACTTTTTCCTAGTATCAAGAGCATAGAGAGAAGGATATTTGATTTTTAACGTCGTCGAACCAATCCATTTGTCTATCCAGAATAAGGTATTGACACCAGATTTAACCTTTAGTTTGAATGTCATCGAGTTCAACCCCATTTTTTTGTAGGTCCTTTTTTGTCGCCACAATGTTGTTCCATACCCCACTGATCTTTCTATTAGCCATATAATTATGAGGGTTATCATATAGATTATGGATGCTTTTTATGACCCTGCCCCATAGTACGTCTCCATCTACTTTCAAACGCCACCACCACTTAACAATTAGGCCGATGTTTAATGCTCTGATTGACCCCACACCCAACCCAACCTCTGATTTTGGAGTAATGACTTTATCTCATGAACCCAGTGGATCTTCTTTTTGTCTTCTGTTTCCCCCCACAAAAACTTTCTTCGTATTCGTTCCAATGTCTTTGTGACAGCGATGGGTGCGATGAATAAGGAAAAAAAATAAGTGGGTAACCGAAGTGATCAGTGTCAATCTCCCACCAAATGACAAAGTCTTAGACTTCCAGGAGGACAGTTTGGCTGAAAATTTATCAATAATCGGTTTCCAATTTTTCATAAGATTCATATTTGCTCCCACAGGTACCCCAAGATACGTAAAGGGAAAGGAACCCACTTCACAACCAAGGATGTTGGCCCAATTCAAGGTTTCATTTGCTGATGCACCAATTCCAATTACTCTTGATTTGTGAAAATTTACCTTTAATCCGGAAGCAGCGTGAAAACACCTTAAGATCCGAGCCAAGTTTTTGAGATTGGATCTAGATCACTCACCCACAAACAATGCATCATCAGTGTAAAACATATGAGTGAGAATGGGCCCATTATTGGGTAATTGAACACCGTTAAAGATCCCTTTATCTCTAGCCTCCATCAAAGCCGTGTTGAGTCCTTCCATTGCTATGATAAAGAGGAACGGGGAAAGAGGATCACCTTGACGAACACCTTTTGAGATCTCGAACTCATCAGTCGGAGAATCATTGATGATAACAAAGGCACGAGAAGAATGTAAGCATCCACGAATCCAAATCCTCCATTTATTCCCAAAACTCATTTGTTCGAGAATAGAATCAAGATAACCCCAGAATTTTCTTTTTCACTCTCTTAGCCCATGAGTGTAGCTCATTGATCACCAACGGACCATCAAGAATGTTCCTACCTTCAACATATGCAGACTGGACGTCACCAATGACCTTGTCTATGACCTTTTTGAGGCGTGTAGCTAAAATCTTCGAGATAATTTTGTACATACAACGAATGAGGCTGATAGGACGGAAGTCGGATAGAGAGGAAGGGTCTTTTACCTTGGGTACAAGCGATATGAATGACGAATTGCACCCCCTGGAAATGGTTCCAAATTTGTAGAAAGTGAAAAACGAAGTTCATCACATCGCACTTCAGAGTATCCCAATATGTTATGATGAATTTAAACGTGAATCCATCAGGTCCAGGTGCTTTCTCACCACCACACGCCCATACTGCAGCTTTCACTTCTTCAAGACTAAATGGTGCTTCTAACTTAATTGCATCCATCATGGAGATTGATTTCAGGAATGGGCTAGTGAACTTGGGCCTTGAAACGTGAGTCTCAGTGAATTTATTTTTGAAGAATCGTAGAGCTTCACCCTTGACTTCAGCCACAAAAGTAGTCCATCTGCCGTTTACCATCAGCCCGTTGATCTTGTTCCTTCTACTTTTTCCATTTATAGCCATGAAAGAACTTAGTGTTTTCATCTCCCTCCACAGTCCATTTGACTCGAGATTTCTGTTTCAGGTCTAGTATCGCTATTTTTTCTAATTCTAGGATTCTTTGAAGTCCTTGACTGCGCGTCGCGAGCTCAGTCTCAGTTAGCTGTCTAAATTCCGCCAACCTTTCGAGTTGTGTAACATCATCTTTGATTCGTAGTATTTCTTGATTTTCTGTCTTATCTGATTGCTTCTTCCATTTTTTTATCTCCCCTTTCAGATACCTGAGTTTGGCAGCCAAATACGAGTGTGGACTACCATACCCTATAAAGATTTCCCGCGCCATATGAACTGTATTATAAAATCCAGCCTTCAGAATCCATGAGTTGAATAGTTTAAATGGAGGTGGTCCAAAGTCAGTGTCTTGGGATATCAAGGTTATCGGGCTGTGATCTGACAGTTCACGGGTATGTGCAGTGGCCACAATTGATGGGAAGGCATTAAGAAAGTTTGCACATGCGAGGAACATTTCTAATTTACTAAGTTTAGCACCTACTCTAGCCATAAATGTGAATTTCTCGCCACCCATGCTAAAGTCTCTAAGCTCCGCGTCTAGAATGAATTTGTTGAAGGCGGATGCACTCGCCGGGCAAAATATAGAGTTGAATCTTTCATCTCTCCTCCTAACTGCATTGAAGTCACCAAATAAAACCCAATTGCATGGTTTTGATCTTTTAATTGATTTCAGATTCCACCATAAGATTTTTTGATCACCAATGTCATGTGGCCCATAAATATTAGCAAGAATCGTATCTCCATTGATGCCAATCTAAGTTCCAACGATAATGATAATCTGATTAGATTTTATTACTTCTTTTTTCTGAAAACAGTTAATGTTCCATATTGAGACTAACCCTCCAGATCTCCCGTCTGAGTCAACACCTTCATAATCATAATCTTGATCTCTCCAACAAGCAGCTATGTCTAAGTTTTCATGATGAGTCAATTGTGTTTCTTGAAGCCCTATGAAATTAGATTTGTGGAAAATTCGTAGCTTCCTCACCCAATTCACTTTTACATCCACCCCAATGCCTCTTACATTCAGGGACAAGCAATTCATTGGATACGTTGTTGCTCACCGGTAATTCCAAGCGTTTCCGCAAGAATTCCATTACTCACATCAATTTGGAATCCGATTGTAGCCCCAATCTCTACTGTTTGCTCGATTTCGTTTAGGTGGGAGTCCGATGTACTAGTTTCAGGTATATCCTTTGGTTTCAAATTGGTTGAATTCATGTTCAAGTTTAAGTCAAGGCTAGTTGATGTGGGATTGTCTAGATTTAACCGAGACCCAAAAGTGGTTTCAGCGTTTGTTTGTGTGTGGCCCAAATTAAAATGGAACGAAGGGGTTTGATGTGTGCATAGGCGCACATTATCCCACTTACGTTTTTTTAGGTTTAGGACTACCACCATTTGAATCACGATCAAATGCTCAGAAGTAAACGAGAATATAGGAGTGCCATTATTTGTTGGGAATGGCCCAAAACACCCAAGGGGGACCAAATTTTCAACTGGCCCAAGGATAGGATTTTTCTCAGGCCCAAAAGATGAATTAGGGCCCATAAGGGAAACGATGGGAGCTTTAGTTGACGGTGATGCAGGGACTGTGGAATTGGGGATTTCAACCGACTCCAATACTTTGGGAGGGGCGACGACATTAACTGTAGGATCGATAGTTGCACCCAACGGTTCATCAGCGTGAGAGTCACTTACCGGCGCCGGCTTCGTTTTGCCAGAATTGGTCTGAGCTTCCGTCGTTGGTTCCATTCCCATGAAACCCTGAGTTTGATCAGGTCGGAATTCGCCTTCTTCCGGTTCGTTTTCTTCTCCATCCATCGATGTTTCTGAAATCCCTTCATAATCTTCTTCCTCATTTCAGATTCCTCTACCTTATCAAAAAGGGCGGGTTTGAATGGTGACCAATCATCCGTGTTTCTGTCACACCCCCAGCCATCGGCGGAAACACCGGGTGGTGTAACGTCATTCTTCGTATCATAGTTATATAACATACATTGAACAGTACTAAAGAAAATACATACCTTTATTGATAACTGAAAGTTACATAACTGTTTTTCTGGGACCTATTACACAATATCCGACTATGGCATACTTCTTAATGAACAGAAAGGTAATAGTAAAACTTCTTCTGTTCGAATACATACCAGCTTTTCAAGTTCCTGAAAACACATGCATTTTAAAATACGTCAACATAAAGTTGGTGAGTCCACAGGTTTTGACTCCATAAAATAGTACATTTTCCATGTTCAAAAGTATAGTTTTGAAAGTATCATTTTGACTCTCCAACATTTAGTATGTATATTAGGTATAATAGTTTACTTATCAATTAAGTGTTATACCTAAACATTCCTTGAGCCTAAGGTATAAATAGGCGGAAACTTATACTTAACATTAATACTTGTATACGACAAAGTATAATGTTTCTAACAACACACTCGTGATTTACCATGAGAAACACACTCATGATTTACCATGAGAAACAACACCGTACGCTTCATCGACGCCGGAACAATAACAAGTAAAAGGATAGTTCATCACTCGCTTTTGGTTGACTGTAGCTAACAGTCACAAGTGGGGTGGTCAACCCGTATACTAATTATATACGAATTCCTCGCTCACACAGGATTAACGGTTACAGTTCAGAGGATTTCCGCTAAGATCCCTAATCTTAGTTGATGAATATAATTACTCATGTAGACTTCGACGACTTCCTATAGCTCTAACAACAAAAGCATTTTCATGTCTAAACCCCTAAGTTACTAGACTATGCTTTTAAACATTACTCCTAACTTCATAACATTTAGGCAGTATAACAGCTATAACTTGAAGTAAAACCAGGATTTATCTTGACATAAAACCAATAACAACAACAACATATAACATACCAAGTTTTATCTTGTCATAAAACTAACAATAACAACATACAATATACCAATTTTTATCTTGACATAAAACCAATAATAGCAACATACTATATAAATTAACATATAGAACTTCCGAATATAACTTCGGAACTATATCGCACACAACATATATATATAATCCTAAGTATAACTCAAGATCTACATTAGTATAATAACATGCTGACAAGTTGATAATAGTTGTATATATTCAAAATATTATATTTAGAACAAATATACCTCGACTATTATAACTATATACTATCATATAGACATAATAGTAATGTATATACAATATTTAGCATGCGTTTTCCCCCAGAATATTAGAAAGTGGGGCCGTGAAACTCACCCTAGTAGCGTGATTTTATGTAATCTAAGCATAAATGGTCAGCGTACGAGGTCGTCGAGGCTCGGGATGCAAGATGGCTTCAGCAAATGAGAGAGGAGAAAGAAGTTTAGGTGTAAGAATGGCTGAAGTCGGACCTGCTATTTATAGTAAGGATTTTGGACCCTCTCTTCGTGAGTTTTATAAGGCTCACATCGTGAGTTTGGATCTTATCCCCGTAGACTTGCCATTTGTGTCCCTAGCTTCGGAAGGTGGCCATGTGACTCCTCACGTCGTGAGATATCCTTGCTCACGTCGTGAGTTTGGATCTTATCCCCTCGCAGCCTCGTCACACACCTTCTAGATTCCGAGATGTGGAAAAATGACTCCTCACGTCATGAGTTTCTGTGCTCACGTCATGAGCTCAGTCAGATTAGGGTTTTTGACAGCTGAATCTTTGGAAGGTCGTAACTTTCACATACGAACTCCGTTTTTGACGTTCTTTATATACACGCATAGGTATTTACAAGTACTACAACTTTCTTTTAGACTCCAATAGCTAATTCTAAGTATATTTTAAATTTCTCTTATTATAGAGATTTATAGTGTTCGGTTTATCATAACTTCTTCATGCGAAGTCAGATTCAGACGTTCTTTGTATCTTTGGAATCGTATGGACGTATACTTTGAGTTGTATCATAAACAAAGTTCATATTTGTATTAGAATTTATCATGAACTAAATAGCACTCTTATCACATTACTAGTTTAACAAAATCACATTACATGACTAGTGTTACATTCTCCCCCCGTTAGAATAATTTCGTCCCGAAATTTATCTTATGGATGGGGATTTGTCAAACAGTTGGGGGTATTTTTCTTTCATCTAATCTTCACGTTCCCAAGTAAATTCAGGTCCTCGTAAAGAGTTCCATCAAACTTTCACAATGGGAATACGGCTTTGCTTTAATCGTTTGACTTCTCGATCCATGATCTCAACAAGTTCTTCTACAAAGTTGAGTTTCATATTGACTTGTATCTCTTCGAGAGGTATAACAAGAGTGTCATTGGAAAGACATCTTTTGAGATTTGATACGTGAAAAACATCGTGCACATTACTTAGCTCTTGAGGCAACTTGAGTTGGTATGCGACAGAACCAATTCTTGCTAGAATTTCAAAAGGTCCTATATATCGTGGGTTTAGTTTTCCTCGTTTCCCGAATCGAATTATGCCTTTCCAAGGAGAGATCTTCAACATTAAATTTATCTCCAACTTGGAATTCTAAAGGCTTACGTCTTACATCAGCATAGCTCTTTTGACGATCACGTGAAACCTTTAATCGATCCTTAATTTGCACGATCTTTTCAGTTGTTTCGTGGATTATATATGGTCCAGTACGTAAGGTATCTCCTGTACGTTCTCTGGCCATCTGTGTATCTCCAACTTCTGCCCAACATACTGGGGAACGACATTTTCGTCCATAAAGAGCCTCAAACGGTGCAGCCTTGATGCTTGTGTGATGACTATTGTTGTAGGAAAACTCAATTAATGGTAAATGAGTATCCCACACATTTCCAAAGTCTATTACACAGGCTCGGAGCATATCTTCTAAAGTCTGAATGGTTCTCTCACTCTGACCATCAGTCTGTGGATGGTAAGCTGTACACATATCTAGACGTGTTCCTAAGGATTTTTGTAGAGATTGCCAAAACCGTGAAGTGAATCTACTATCTTTGGTGAGAAATAATAGAATTTGGAACTCCATGCAATCTGACAATTTCCTTAAGATAAACTCTAGTCAGCTTCTCCATCTTGTCGTTCTCCTTAATTGGTAAGAAATGGGCGGACTTAGTCAATCTATCGACTATTACCCAAATAATGTCGAACCCACTAGGAGTTTTAGGTAACTTAGTGATGAAGTCCATTGATATCTGCTCTCATTTCCATTCAGGTATTTCCGGTTGTTGAAGTAAACCTGAAGGCTATTGATGTTCTGCCTTTACTCTAGAATAAGTCAAACATTTTCTCATATAAGTAGCAATTTCTGCCTTCATGTTTGGCCACCAATAATGTACTTTTAAATCTAAGTACATTTTGTCAAAACCTGGATGCACGAAATATCTGGACTTGTGGGCTTCTTCTAAGACTAAGTCCCTGACTCCACCGAACTTAGGCGTCCAAATTCGGTTCATAAAGTGTCGCGTTCCGTCATCTTTTTGTATAAGTTACTTTTCCATTCCTCGCAAAGCTTCGTTCTTGATGTTTTCTTCTTTTAGAGCCTCAAGTTGAGCTTCTCTAGTTTGTGCGGTAAAGTTAGAATAGATAGTTATAGTTAATGCTCGTACCCGACGGGGTTTAATATATTCTTTCCGGCTCAAGGCATCTGCTACCACGTTTGCCTTTCCGGGATGATAACGAATCTCACATTCGTAATCATTCAACAATTCGACCCATCTTCGTTGTCTCATATTAAGATCTTTTTGGTTGAAGATGTGCTGGAGACTCTTGTGGTCGGTAAAAACAATACACTTAGTACCGTATAAGTATTGTCTCCAAATTTTTAGTGCAAAAACTACAGCTCCCAATTCAAGATCATAGGTAGTGTAATTATTCTCATGCACCTTAAGTTGTCGTGACGCATAGGCAATAACTTTTCCTCTTTGCATCAACACACATCCCAATCCTTGATTTGATGTGTCGCAGTATACGACGAAATCTTCTGTCCCATCTGGAAGGGATATGATTAGTGCACTACACAACATTTGCTTCAGTTTCTGAAAAGCAGCTTCTTGTTTGTCTTCCCAGTTGAACATTGTATCCTTTTGGGTTAGTGTTGTAAGCGGCTTGGCTATTTTGGAGAATTTCTCTATGAATCTACGGTAATAGCCAACAAATCCTAGGAATTGACGCACTTCTGTTGGCGCCTTTGGTGCTTCCCAATTCCTGATTGCTTTAACTTTGGATGGGTCAACATGAATTCCTTCGTTGCTAACTACATGACCTAAAAATTGTACTTCTCTAATCCAAAACTCACATTTGGAGAATTTGACGTACAACTTTTCTTTTCTTAGTAGTTCCAAGATTATTTGCAGGTGTTGACCATGTTCTTCCTTGGTTCATGAATATATCAATATATCATCGATAAATACGATCACGAATTTATCCAAGTATGGTTTGCAAACACGATTCATGAGATCCATAAACACTGCTGGGGCATTGGTCAATCCAAAAGACATAACTAAGAACTCATAATGACCATAACGAGTTCTAAATGCTGTTTTTGGAATGTCGTCTTCTTGTACTCTGAGTTGATGGTATCCTGATCTAAGATCTATCTTTGAGTAGTAGCTGGATCCTTGCAGTTGATCGAATAGATCATCAATTCTTGGAAGCGGATAACGATTCTTGATCGTTAGCTTGTTCAGCTCCCGATAATCAATACACATTCGAAAGGATCCGTCCTTCTTCTTGACAAACAAGATTGGTGCTCCCCAAGGTGAAAAACTTGGTCGGATAAAGCCTTTGTCAAGAAGTTCTTGTAGTTGGCTAGACAATTCTTGCATTTTGGATGGAGCCAACCGATAAGGAGATTTC